TTTAAGGTCACCAACACACTTCATCTTCCCATTTGCTTTCAAGTAACTGATGGGGAGGGAAGAATCAGATGATACAACACGAACAACCGTTCAAGTCGGACAATGGGTACAGCAGGTAGTCTTTTTCCACTTTCTGTGGAACCTCTGAAAGGTTCCATAATAACAAATTTTAACTAAGGGGCGCCTGGGTGGCTCAGTCAGTTAAGCATCTGCCTTTGGCTCAGGTCATGATCCCCGAGTCCCGGGATCAAGGTCCGCCTCAGGCTCCACGCTCAGCCAGGAAGGAGTCTGCTTCTCCCACCCCCTCTGCTCCTCCCAGCCTCCATGCTCATGCTCTCTCTCTCACTCTCTCAGATAAATACATAAAAATCTTTTTTAAAAAATTTTACTAATTAAAAAATAAAGTCCTCATTCCCCAACTGAGCACACCTGGGTGTGAGGAAAACCCCCCAGATGAGAACCTTCAACACTTTGCAGTGAGAGGCAGGGAAGAGAACACTGGACTGGGAATCAAGAAGCTTCATCCGTGCTTGGCTTTATTAAGTGTGAGACCTCACAAATTTCCTCCTCTGTTTCTTCTAAGATTAAAATTCTGATTTCAGCTTTCTACTCGCTCCCCAGACTCAACAAACAAAACCATATTCATCTCTCCTCTATTCCAAACCCCTAAGACCTGTTCTCCCCTCCTGACTTCCCTATTCCCGATGCCTATTCTGCCAGCCACCCAAGCATGAAAACCTCAACACCACCTCTGACTTGAGACATCGAACTCTACTGTTCCCTTCCCCTCCTACCTAATCCGTCACCACGTCTCTCTGTTCAACCTCCAAAATATCTCCTGAATGCACTGCCATCGGTTCAGTTCAGGCCCTCAACATCCCTCCCTTGGACTATTACCATGAATTGCAACTAAAGTCCCTCTCTCACGAGCCTGGGTGGCTCAGTCGGTTAAGCGTCTGCTTTTGCCTTGGGTCATGATGCCCCAGGATGGAGCCCTGCCTCAGGCTCCCCGCTCAGCGGGGAGTCTGCTTCTCCCTCTGACCCTCCCCCGTCTCATTCTCTCTCTCTCTCTCACTCACTCTCAAATAAATGAAATCTTAAAAAAAAAAAGCCCCCTCTCTCTTTCTCCTCACTGCCAATCCATCCTATTCATCCTCGGTCTGGCATTTAAGACCCTCCAAAACCCAGTCCTGACCTCTCAGCAGCCTCACCTTCCACTATGTTCCTTTATGTCTCCCAGGGTCCAAGTGGTTTGGACATGCAGTTTCCTGATGTTCACCTCATTTCCGACACCACTGCCCCACCTCTGCTCAAGCTATCCTTCCTTCCAGAATGCCCTGTTCTTTCCATTGCTTCTCACCTTCCTGATGGTGCCATTTAAATACCACTTCTTCAGTTGAAGTGTTCCTTGATATCCCCAAGGGGGCAGTATCACACCCTCTACTTAACCACTAAGCACCTTGGCTGAACCTCTTTTATAACACCTACCAAACTCCTAATAGTCCTTTCTTTTTCTGGTGCCCCTAATCTCCCTACTAGATAATTCATTCCTTGTCAGTAGGAAATAGGTCTTATTCCTCTTTGTATTCCTCAGAACAGAGCTTCTCAAAGACTGTGCAAAGGCACAGTGGCATGCCATGAATGAGTTAAAGATGTCCCAGACAGTAATCCCCTCAGCCCTCCAAGCAGTCACAAAGGGAATTCAGCAGCCAGAGTCCCCACTAGTCAAGTCTCAAGCATTCTCACGTAGCCTCCTCCTTCAACCAGGTAGACACCACAATGATAACTTGGAGGCACTCAGAGGACACAACACAGCACACGATACACAATGGATGCCCAATAAACATTTGCGGAACTGAATCTGAGAATAATCTACCTGTTCCCCTTCAACCACTATCTCCAAGATCACTTACCATCTAGACCTCTTTGAACATTTCCTCTGAACGTGTGCTGGTTATCTTTTTAATAATCACCGGTTTATTTGCTGGCTATACTTGCCTTACTATCCAAAGCTCACATCAATACTGTATTGCATAAAATAGCAGAGGATATGCACAAACAATTCACCAAAAAGAGACTGAAAGAGTAAAATTCAACATTACAGAACAAAGAAATGCAAATGCCACTTTACACTACTAAATGAGCAAAAACTTTTAAGTATTTCTGTCCAGCTATGGTAAAACAGGTATATCCATGTATCTGTTAGAAGTACAAACTGGTACAACATTCTTGAAAAGCTATACGGCAATATATACAAAAAGCCATAAAAACATTCATTCCATTTAACACAATACACTCAGAAATGTACCCTAGAAATATAATTAGTCAAAAAAATAATACCAATAATATCTACGATAATGTAAAGTCCTAAGTGAAAACCAGGGAGCAACATAAATACCTAACACTGAAAGATTTAAGTAAATTATGAGAGCATGACTTGATGAAATATTTTGCAATATATAAGCATACAGGGGCGCCTGGGTGGCTCAGTAATTTGAGTGTCTGACTCCTGATTTTGGCTCAAGTCATGACTCCGGATTGTGAGATCAAGCCCCATGTCAGGCTCCACGATCAGTGGGAGTCGGCTTCTCTCTCTCTTCCTCTGCCCCTCCCTTCACTCATATGCACATACTCTCTCTCAAATAAATCTTTTTAAAAAAATGTAAGCATATAAATTAAAATTGTGACATCTATAACATGGAAATGTTCCATGATCTAGTAAGTAGAAAAAATTCAAGTTACATGCACCATAATTAAACATGAGTAAAAAATATATTATGTGTGGGGTGCTTGGGTGAATCAGTCAGTTAAGCGCCTGCCTTCGGCTCAGATCATGATCCCAGGGTCCTGGGATCGAGCCCCACATCAGGCTCCCTGCTCAGCGGGGAGTCTGCTTCTCCCTCTCCCTCTGACCCTTCCCCCCACACTCGTGTTCTTGCTTGCTCTGCTCTCTTTCTAAAAAGAAAAAAAGAGGGCGCCTGGGTGGCTCAGTCGTTAAGCGTCTGCCTT